CGGTCGCACGTCGGCCGAAGGCATCTTTCTTTCCGCTGCCGCTTTCTGTACGCTGATTTGTTGAGACAAAATAATTAATTTCTCAAAAACTATTGCGAATATCGCAAAACGGCACAGGACTTTCTTGCTCACCTCAATCCGTTCTACGTTCTCACCAAGGGTCATCATGGGACTTCGGGACACCCTGTATATTTGAAACGTAATATCTTAGTCCAGGGATTATTATTAAGTTAACTAAAAAATCTTTGGTATAGAATACACATTTCATTTGCCGATGTATATTTCTGGAAGAAAATAAATTTATTAACGAGAAAGCACTTTTTGGTTACAAAAATATGAGTAAAATACATGTCGACTTCTATTCGGTGTTTATTGTTCACTGTTCAAAAGTTAAATTACTTTCAAATCAACTTAATAATATGGAAATACTAACTTTCAGAGGGCAGTACACAGAAAGAGTCCTCGTACTCGACGATTTCCACTACCAGCAACGTGGAGGTAGCCATCAACTTCGACGACCTGGCACAGGTGGAAACGTTGTCCACCACTGCGTCCAAGGTACTCGTCTGATTCACGAGAAGCGAGCATTTCTGATATTGTCTCTCACATCTCCTTAATCGCGCACCTTTCATTTTCAGAGTCGCGTGAGGATCCAGGCGAAACGTCGTCCTCAAAGCCGACATGCCCGTAAGTCCGCGTTGCGGCACAGCGGTATCGACTTCGACACGGTCGACAACGCGGATGACTCGCAAGAGGAGAGCCACGCTAGCACCTTCTCGCACACGTCCAGCAAAGAATCTACCATCCCGATTGCGAGTGCCGATCGTTTGAACGTCAGTGACAATGCTCAACGTAATACGCTTGATCCTAATACAGACGACAAGTCCGAGCTGGGTAGCGTCAGCAAAGAGAGCTCGATGAGCGTTAATAAGAACACCTTGTTGTCACCGTCCACCGATGAGGAGGATTTGTTCGACGTGCCGCCAGACTTACCGGAGGACCCGCAGAAAGAGGACACGTTGTTCGGCAGAGCGCCGATACTTTCGCCGGTCGGCAGTGAACAGTCCGACAAGACACCCGTTGTTGTCAAACCTCTGATAGACACCGTGATCAGAAACGTCGAGGCAGATATGATCAGCACGATGAGCGACAACAGTAACAAAGCACAAGATTCCGACGAAATGATGCGATCAGACCAAGTCGATAGCAAGTTCGATACGTCGAAGAGTCGTGAAAAGAAAGACGAGAAGCGTAGGAAGAACGACGAGCTGGACGATGAAGCCAAGAGAGAGTCCGGCGAGGAGCCAAGTGATCCTCTGCGAGACAGCAGCCACGACCCGCTGAAGAATCCTAGTCAGTTGTTCGCATTTGTCACGAAGACGCCGTCGCCGGATAAGGGTAAGGGTCTGCTGTTCTCTGAGGACGATAGCCTGTTCTCCAGCGGCGCGAGGAAGCCGAACGACGAGCGGCCGCAAAAGAAAGAAATCTTGGATTTGTTCGCAGACGACGCGGGCGGCGATCTTTTCTCCGCGCCGTTGAAGAGGACGGTGAAGAAACCGCTGCGCGACACGAAGATCAGTCTTTTCGATGACGACGACGGGCGGAACGATGAGGACGACAGTCTGTTTGGCAACGCGAGCGTGAAAACGCGTCTCGACGCTCAGAAGTCTACTTCCGCTCAAGCAGGCCGTAAAAAGAACAATATCTTCGACGACGACGACGATGACGACTCCAGCTTATTCGTCGAATCGTCCGGCCACTCGCAAAAGTCGGACAGCGCGTCGATCTCTGTCAGTGAATCGAGGCAGGACTTCACCGACACTACCAAGACTTCCAACTTGAAGAACATATTCGGCAACGACGCGCCGTGCGACGACGACGACGACGACGTTGATATTTTCGCCACCAAGCGAATTGTTCCTAAGAAAGTCGCGCCGTCCAAGTCTCTGTTCGCGTCGGACGACGACGAAGACGACGACGACGGCCATATCTTCGGTAAGCCGTCCGCCGCTTCGGCGGACCCCAAGCCGAGAACGGTGATCGCGAGCTCGCGACCGGCTGTGAAGAAACCCATCACCAGGGACCTGAAGAAGACGGCCGAAAAGATCGTCGAGGATCCTCTGAGTCTTCTTCAAGACGATTAACTCCGTGATAAACGCCCATGAGATTTCGCATATATATATATATATATATATATATATATATATATATATATATATATATATATATATATA